AATTGGTTGAGCTCTCTCATCTAGCGTGAATTCAGGTTCATCTCATGTGAGCTTCGAATGGCAAAGTGGTAACGCACTCGTCTATCATAGAGTCCCTTTATACTGAGAGTCAAGACAATGTGAATCCATTTCTGATTGGTTCCCGTATTTTAGGCCTTCACAGTGTCACAAACGGGAATAAAGATTAAATTTTCACCGACTGCAAAGATTATATTCTGCAATGGACCAGGGAATTACGGGTTCGGCAAGGAACAAACGGAATCAGAGAAGGAACGGAGAAAGGAATTTGAGAATGGGCCGATCAAAGATTACGAAAAACGTTCAATTTCTATAATCTTTATTCCCGTTTTTGACTCCATGAGGGGGTGTTGTCTTGACTCTCAGTATAAAGAGACTCTAGTCTATCATAGCCGCGACTCAAGTTTAAATCCATGCTTCAGCTGTTCCTTTTTACATTTGCCTGTCAGATTTTCACTCCCGCCAGAGCGCAAAATTCGCGGCGAACCTATTTCGCGCCGGATCTATGTACTCAGAGTAAAAGGTGGTCGAAATAGCAACTGAGTAAGCGTGAATTTCGCGCCGGGATTTTTAACAGTGTAATAAGTCATCAGCAATCGATAATTTCGCATTTGAAGTTGCGGTGAACAGAGGCGGAACCAGCAATTTGACAAAAATGTTTTTCTCCATTTAAATCTATGGAAATGAATCGATTCTTGGAGGGGCCAGGTGCTCCGCCAAGAATCGATTATTTAACATAGGTTTAAATGGAGGGAATCCGGTGTTGCCAAGTTGCTCGATCCGCCTCTGGCGGTGAAGAATCTATTATGAAGGTTCGTCGCGAACACCCCGATAATCGATCCTTTCCCATAGATGTAAATGGCGGATGAATCGATAGATCGGAATGCGCGGCACGCCCACGGTGGATAACCACTCACCAATCATGCGTCAGCATCTGTTCGGCCGGGCGGTCTTGGAATATTTTGTCTCTAATTACCAGAGTTTCCGATTGAAGAAAAACCAGAGGTGGAGCTTTCAACGGATTAATTTCGGGAATCACTCTCTCCTGTCTGTTTGTTTTCAAGCCTCCGCCGGCTCCCCGCCTTCTCGAGGCGCAGTTCTTATTGTGAGGCGTTCATTAAATCATGAATCCATCCACCGATCAACCGATCGCCTCTATCGTGGCATGCACGGACGGTGTGGCGAGCGCTGGCGCACGGAAATAAACGCTTTGATGTAGAGGAACATCTGGGGATTAAAAGTTGATTTCATTCCAAATTACGTTTGCGTCCATCCGATTCGGTTTTCTCCTTTTCCGACGGGTCAATGATGCAATGGAGGTGTTGCATGTGTGAGGAATTTGCCATTTGATTGTTGATTTTTGTGTACAAGTTCGTGAGAAACACGATGGTGCCACTGGTTTTCTCTGAAATCAACTCCCAAGCTCAAAAAAAGCTCTCAAGTTGAGGCCAAAATGGAGGGGATATCCCACGCTATCCTGAGAGTCCACCTCTACATCAAAACGAACTCGCCATGCAAAAATAGGGAGCAAATTAGCAGTGATGCCGTGTTTTCAGTTTTAGAGCCCCAAATAAGGTGGCAGCCCTGTCAATGTATTTGTTCCCTGCCTTTGCATGGAGAGTTCGTCTTGATGTAGAAGTGGACCCTCCGGATAGCGTGGGATATCCCCACCATTTTGGCCTCAACTTGAGAGCTTTTTTTGAGCTTGGGAGATAATTTAAGAGAAAACCAGTGGCACCATCGTGTTTCTCGCGAACTTTTACGTAAGAATCAACAGTCAAATCGCAAATTCATTAACCATGCAACATCTCCATTCCTCTTCTTCGATGGGCCAGGCGCAAAAATATTATTTGAGATCCGGTGATCTGGTGAGGATGAAAAAATTCAAGAAAAAGTGTGCTGCGTGAAAAACGAAACATTCTAGGAGAAAACCCCGAGGTGCATAAAAGGGGATTCATTTCAATTTTATCCATTTGAATAGACTTTGCTAGCAGCAATACATAAAATGAGAACTTACTGCCAGATATCATCCACTTGAGGTTCGCTTTCCAGCCCCTGCCGCATGAGCCTCAAACACACCGGGAAGCAGGCTCGGACTGGCCATAAGGTCAATCTGCCATTGGTAGATACGCCCCTTTGACATATAGCAAAATAAGAAGAGAAAAAAAATTACGACCAAGAATATATGCAGAAAATTTCTTAAATTAACGGAAAAAGAGAGAGTTAGGACTAAAGCAAGGTGCTGTATGATAGTGATGAACAGAGGTCCAAGAACTACTTTCTGAAGCGTAAAAACTTTTCTGTGAAATATTAACCTATTTGTTGACTTGGAGGCGCTTTATCATCCCCCTCCTTCATTCGCTATGTGTAACTCCCTTAGGAGCGATGGTTGATTCGATTTTTAGACATACGCACCCTTCATAGACCTCCTGAGAAACCTTTAAACATAATACTTCCTTTTCAAAATGACTATTGGTTTGGACATACCATAGCATATCTCGGTCAAATTTAACTCGGAACTATTATCGAACTTATTTATCTGAAAATTCAAAAATAAGAGACATTTAAAGTGTAAACGCGGTACAACTATTCGCGCCAGATGGATGTCCACATTGCATACGAAAAATGTAAGACGAGATGGCGTGAGTCGTGAACTCGGCGATGCTCTGTTCTATGCTACCAGTTTGAAGAACCTTTACGAATAAGACAAACGCAAACAAACACAATATGGAAATAAAGCGAGGGAAAGGATGCGCGTTAACGACGGCGCAGAGATACAACTATTCGTACTTGATGGACGTCCGTGCTGCATCTAAAAAATTGAAGGCGCGATGACACGATACGTGAGCTCTCAATGCTCTGCTGGATGCTGTCAATGAGAAAAATTATAAAAGAGGCCCGAGTACGTCGTTCCTGTCTTCGGCTGTGTTACTCACGTAGTGCTTGAAGTGACATTACGAATAACACGAACGGAAACAAACACAACATGGAAATAGAGGGAGGGAAAGGATGCGCGTTTACGACGGCGCAGAGATACAACTATTCGTACTTGATGGACGTCCGTGCTGCATATGAAAAATTGAAGGCGCGATGACGTGAAGCGTGAGTTCTCAATGCTCTACTATACGCTGCCAATGAGGTGTAGCTCAGATTCGGGAGAAAATCTAAAAAAGAGGCCCGAACACATCTCTCCTACCTTCGGCTGTGTTATTCATGTAGTGCTTGAAGCACCATTACGAATAAGACAAACGCAAACAAACACAATATGGAATTAGAGCGAGGGAAAGGATGCGCGTTAACGACGGCGCAGAGATACAACTATTCGTACTTGATGGACGTCCGAGGTGTATCTGAAAAATTGAAGGCGCGATGACGCGAAGCGTGACTGCTGTCAATGAGGTGTCGCTCAGAGTTGGGGGAAAAGTTAAAAAAGAGGCCCGAATACGTCTTTCCTGTCTTCGGCCGTGTTGATACTTCTTCTTTCATCTTTTTACAGGTTCCTGTCTGATTCTTTTTTAGGATGGATTTGCAGACCCAAGTTTTAAGCTCGTGTAAACCGCAGCACTGGCTCGGTTCCTTTGGAAATAATGGTGCTTGGATGCGTCCAGTGGCTTTAATTTTGTTTGTTTTCTTTAATTTCAGAAGTCTGTCGGTCACTTCAATACGTTCAATTTTACAATTTTTACTCTGTACGATTAATAAACTTTGAACCTAAAAATAGCGTAAACTTGTGCTGTTTTACCAAAATTTTCTGAACCCCTCTCCACGTAGGGTAGATGCCCTACCAGGAAATATCACATTACGCCCCTTTAACCAGACAAGAGTCTAGGCAAGTAGTAGTAAGTATACCGTAGAGCGAGAATAGTCTCCTATTCGAAAGACACATTTTCATCGTTCCATCATTCAATAATCTTTGATTGAGCTGATAGACGATGTTGTTAACATGTGGGTTGGTAGGGCCCACTTCATGTTCGCCTTCAATTCTGTTGCATAGACAACATACCTACCGTGGGACGCGAATAGTTACCTATTCCAAAGAGGAGGGTATGGATTCGATCGACTAAATCGATCGAAAAATGAAAACGTGAATCGATCGACACCGATTCGATCTACAATTTTGATCTTTGATAATTATTAAAAAACTGGTGTCGATTCGGTCGACACAAATTGATCGAAAAATAAAAACGTGAATCGATCGACAGTTAATTGAAAGAACCCGGTATGGATTCGATTGACATGAACCGATCGACACCTATTTGATCGACATAATTCGATCGCCTCACAGGTTTGTCGATCGAATCAAACATGTCAATCGAATCACGTCGATCGGTTCACGTTTTGATTTTTCGATCAATCCATGTCGATCGAATCGATACCGGGGGTTTTTTTTTTAAATTAATTGTCGATCGAACCGGTGCCAATCGATTCACGCCTTCATTTTTCGATCGATTCATATCGATCGAATCGAATCGACATGAGATCGACATCGAAAGAACGGAAATCTCAACGAGGACGTAATCTTTCAAAAATTAGACGACAAATTTGAATTATATTCTTAAAAATAAAACATTATTTATAATAATTGGACTACATTTTGCAATTTGGAACTATAAATTCTAGCCCGGTTTGAAAACAACGTATGCGCCATTTGTTTCCCCATGCACATAAGTGTTTTTCCAGAGGAGCCAAAATTTACAGTTCCAAATTGCAAAATGCAGTCCAATTAACTCCTCTTGATTCAAAAGAGCAAAGCAGTTTTACAGTCCTGAAAAACGTATAGTACCTCAGGAGAAGTAGTAAGAGCATTAAAAAATGAAAAGAACGGCGCCCCGGCAACACTGCATGCCACCAGGACCGGGAGTGCAAGCATCCAGTGCGAGTACCATCCGCCAGGAGCGCGCGATGCACTCCCGGCGCGGCGTGGAGCCGGCTGTTTTGTTGTGCGGTGACGTCATGTCTCCAGTCTCTCGCAGCATCGGCAGGAGGAGGTCGCGTCGCTTCTCGCGTCAGTGAAACCCGCGTAGCCGCGAGCCCCTTTGTTTCTCGCGAAATAGTTCAAGTGAAATTATTGAAGGTAAACACCTGCTGTTTTCGCGATTCTTTTAGCTAAGATAATACCGTTCGAAGCTGAATATCGAGTGCTCTGTGTGTGTTTTCCTGTGAATGCTCAGTGTGGTTGCAACCTGTCCCGTCGTGGAAACGATTCTGTCCTTTCTCGGTAAGAGTTGAATAACCGGTCCCGGGAAGGAGGCATGTCTCCGCCGCCGACTAGCTTCGCTTTCCCAAAATGAGGCGTGCTTAATTAAAAGTTTTCCAAGTTCGTTGATCTCACTTGTTTTGGTGCCAATCATATTTTCCGCGAGGTAGTGTGTTTTTTATGTGCACACGTGTGATATTGTGTTGTGTTGATTCTCATAATTGGATAACCTCACCACGAAGGATTTGTTAGCCGATCCAGCAGATTCTGCTCGTTGGATCTTACAGGTACGGGATCCATAATCACGAATGTTTTTCAGGTTTAACTTCTACAATTCACTAGAATATTATGGCGTGAGCTCCGAACAGATTGTAGAATGCATTATTATTTTTCGTTCAAACGCAGGTTTCAAAAGCGATGTTTACATATTTGCTGTTTCGGTGTACATGTTTTCCCAACACTGCGAAGTCGTAGCCAGCGAATTCCTTTGCCAGCTCCAACATTGAACTTCAGTTATTGTAGAACCTACGGGAAATCAACATTTTCACACTCATACTTCTGTGTTGGAGCCATTTTAACTGTGTATCAGTAAATGTATGTCCCAAGTATTCTTACTCTCCATAGGCTCAATGCACTCGTGATGCCATCAATACACTTCGCTTGTACCTAACTTTCTAAGATTTTCCTACAATCATTTTAGGATATTCTGGGGGACAAAACGCTGGAAATATTCTAGAGTTATGTATGCTTCTGAAATGAACATCGGTGTGTTTTATGTTATGTTACAATTTCTGGAGATTCACGGAGAGTTTTACTGTTAGGACTAAATAAATTTGGAGTAACTATCAAATTAACATCTGAATATTTTGACAGTATTAGGTTTAGGTGCACCGTCATTGGTGCCTTCAGATATTTGAAACCAGTTTACCTAGTCATACCACTGAAACAAGGCAGCACCTAAGCCTTGTATTGTCAATGTTGTATAAAAATGGAGGCTTTTTCCCGATCGAATCTTGATTCCTTGTTGATTCCATGTACAAAGGCGAATCTCACCTCATGCCAATATTGGTCGAATTCCGATACGTTTGCACTGTTTATTACCTCATCGTTTGCACAGTAAATACTCGTTTGGCAACTTGATCTTTCAATTGTACAAAATACTTAGTACATGTGCCACAACTCTATTTTTACCATGTTCTGGAGTATTACCATTACCTTCTTATACCTGCATTGAGGATTCAAGTTTACCACTCCAATTTTATTCTCAATCTCATAGTCTGTAACCTGAGCTGAAGTATATTCTTGTACCATATGAATTTTTCGCAACTTCATTGGCGGAGTAGGCGTGTTCATTCCATAAAGGGTTCCTAATATTGTTTACCTTCTTGTGTCTCATTCCATCTGTCAGACCAAAAACTAACTCGGCTTTTCTTTGAATTGCTTAATTTACAACCGGATTCTTATGTACCTAGTCAAATCAAAGCCACTGTGGCATGGAGCACTTTTAGTACCTACTGTGTGTTAGGTGCACGAATTCATGGCACCTTGTGTTACCAGCACACAACGTGATTTTTGCGAGTGCTTATCAATATTTCTCCCTAAAATCCTATAAATCACAAAATATTGAAAAGTACGGGCAACTCGGATTTTCCCACTCTCTCTATGCAATTTAGTGGAGGTGACAAAGTTTTGCATTTTCCCTTATGTCAAAGATACTATCTGGGTACTAATGATAACTCAATTCCCAGAGTTATTCAAAGCGCCCCCCCCCCCCAATCCGAAAAGAAAAACAATTTGTAAGTCTCTGCTGTTGCCAGATTGTCCAATCATATAATAAGTAGTAGGGGGTATGTATTGGTTTTTATTTCTGAAAATCGTTCAACATGACCTTATTCCTGGACGATTTAGGCAGGCGCAAATCTTCTCCGGGAAGGGGGGGGGGTAAGAATGACATAAATAGGGAGGCCCCCTCCAATTTTTTCGTCATTAAGTATAGGTAGGTAGGTACTTAAGGCGTTTTGACGGTAGAAAAATCCAGCGAGTTTCGGAGAAAGGTTTTTCTGTTTTATCTTCTTCTTATTTTTCCCTCAGGGGGAACTGATCATGAACGTGGGTCCAAAATGAGGGAGGTCATTGAAGTTGAGGAAAAACTTCTGCACTCCTGGATGTTATGTAGGTTTAGGAGAGGCCTGTATGTTGCCGTGCGAAGGAAGAACACCTTCGAGAGTATGCACTTTCGAGATTCACCAAGTTTCTCTAGATAAAATGTGCACTTTTAAGGAACGTACTGCATGTTTCCTTGAAATTTTTAGATTTTTCAGATGAAAATGCCCACCAAATTGTCTGAAAAATGTGAAGAAAAATGTTCCGATTTCCCCCGGTACATTCGCTTTTTTAAGGAACTTTGGCAACGGCTAAAGGCTCATACGTCGTTCTTCCTTAGCACGGATGCATGGTCTGAACCGCCTCCTCCTTTCCACGGGCAAAACTTCGAGGTCTCTGTTTAGACCTGTAATCTTAGGCACGCGGGAGTTAATGAAACTCGTGGGTGACGCAGAGGGAAGTTTTTCCTCGTCGCTTCCGAACTCGTGTCACGTGGAGCCGAAATAGCCTTGTTTGCCACCGCACCTTAAACTCACCGAACGCGAGGGATTTCGACACATCGGAAATTGGTTCCGCCATTCCGCGCTCAACTTTCCGGCTTCGAGCCGCGGGAAAACGCTCCACCCGAACCGAAGAAGCTACAAGCCGAGATTTGTTTTTCAATTATAACTTTTTGTTGTGATAAATATTTGATTCTTTTATCTCGCAGCCAGCCCGGATCGGTAGGGCGGTCCGAAGGCGCCGGGGGGGGGGGAGGGTTCCTAACGGTGACAGCCGACCGACGAACTTGGAACTTGGGCCGGAAAGTTTCGCGCGAGCCGGTTCTTATTCGCGCTCTTTAGTCTTTTGTTTAATTGAAGTTCGAAGTTGTTGACTCATTAGTTAAGTGTTCGCTTTATCCCGGCTTTGCGGATGAGCACATTATAATTTCGGAATTGAAAGATGCATTGTTTCGCTAAGCTGTTAGTTTTCTCGGGAGCCTCGCTTAAGCTTCTCGCTGCCGTCTCCGCGCGCGAAGACTCACTTTGCCGCAGCGAGTTGCCAGTAGAGACAATTTATTTAGGTGGCTCCGCAAATAAGCAGTGTAATCGAGTGAGGTGGGAGTTTAGTTCAGAGTTCGACGCTGTTTTTTGCCTGCCGATGACTGATCACTCGAAGGGATAACACTTTGCCAAGCGAGTTTTTGCAAACTGAGAAGAAACCAAAGACATAAAGACGGAGTGCTCGTATCTAAAAGCACGGGGAAGAAGTGAGCCATTCTGGCGATTGAATCCATGCGCGGGAAACGATTAGATTCGAACTTATCCTCTTCATTTTTCCATATTTCTTCTTCGAATCTCATTTTAAATGCCTAAAACGAACCGATAAATAAAGTTGGGTTTTTGAATTTTTATAATAAACCTATTTTGGTTTGGGAACAAGGAGGAATCTTACAGGAATCTCAGATTAAGTTGCTGTGAATCCATGTGTGGGAAACGAAACTTGATTTGAATTTGTCCTTTTGATTTTTCCACATTTCTTCTTCTAATCTCGTTTTATTTGCCTAAAACGAGCAAATCAATAAATTTGGGATTTTAAATTTTTATCATAAACATATTTTGGCTTGGTAAGTAACAAGGAGGAGTCTTACAGGAATTTCAGATAAAGTTAGTTTTTCTGCTGCTCTAACCAAAAGGAGAGGTGACTTCATTATCTTCTTCTAGCGCTCCATCTTTATGTCTTTGGAAGGAACGTAGAAGCGTATTCTCGCGTCGGAACGGGTGGAGCTTGTGAATCCGAATTCTCGGGTCGGATGGATTTTACGATTCAACATTGATTCAAGCGGACATTAGCGCGCAACTATTCCAACTCCGGAGTGGGTATGTGGTATCACTCTGAAATGAAGGCGAATCATAGCTTTTCGCCTGACGTTTATGAATGTTGCGGTAGGTAATCATGTGAAAAATACAAATTGTTTTATGTTATTACCAAACCACTGGAAAATCGCATATTTTCCGCTATATTGAGGTGTGAGGTGGAAAACGCGTAATTCTTTATGTTTTCACCCACTAATTGGAATATGTGCGTATTTGCCGCAGTATTGAGGTAAATTCAAATAAAGATGGGTCAAAACTCAGTTTGCTAACGATTTCCTTATGAAAGGATTTCATCAGTCTTGCAAAATTAAAACCAAGACACACGATAATGCTACTCATTTTTGTCTTAAATCGGTTCTCACAATTGAATCGAAGAGAACGAAAACACACCAACTCGGAAAAACGAAAATAATCAAGATACACACAAAACTGCACAGTAGAAGAAGAAATCAGTTTGAGAAAAATATTTTTTCCGCCGAAAGACAAGTACTTATGGACACTTTAGGGGCCGAGTTGGAACACATGCGCTAAATTCAATGACATTTCTATAAATGAACTGTCTTTAATGGAAATTGAGCATTTCCGAGTTACCAAGTTGGTGTGTGTTCGTTCTCACTGATTCAATTGGTATGAACTCTCTATGAAAATTGGCAGCATAGCTACTGTATGCTTCCTTACATTTCATAGTTGTGTGTCCCCCTCCAACGAGAAATTGTGCAAAGAATCAGCGTATTGAGGAGAAAGGGCAGAGGGAGGGATAGCTTGTCCCTTTTTCGAAGAATGTCAGAGAACGGTGCCGCGGAAGAGAGACCGTGAGAATGGATGTTTTTTTAAACTAAATAATAAGAGATTTCGCGTTTCTTTCGGAATGCTGGACCCGCCGGTGGAAGGAAGTCGTCAATGGATTTAACAATTATTATTTTATTTTTTTGTTAGTTTTATTTTACTCACACGCGTTCCCCAGTGCTCCATGTTTCACAGGATTAGATAAGACCAAGAGAAATGGCCGATCCATATGATTTCTCTCTAATAATACGGGTTCCTTTAAGAAAGAAAGATTCGGGCCCATAATTATATAGTCGTTCCATAACGACGCGTTTCCTTACACTGAAAAAAAATTCTCGGCGTTTTTACCAAGGTCCGTTGGTACTTTTACCATTTAACTTTTTTTTACCAATTATTGGTAATTTTACCAAAACGGATTGGTACGCTTACCTAAAAACCTGTATTTTTACTGTTTTTTCAGGTAAGAATACCACTTTTATTGGTAATCAATTCCCGGTAACTTTGCCATTTCATCTCGGTAATTCTACCACAGTCGATAAAAA